TTGGGGATTTGGCATAATGCAGCTAAAATTAAAATTTGAAAATTCATATTAATATCATTCACCAATCTAGTAAAAGTGAAAGTAACATCCAGCCTAGCATTAGACATACTGTTTACCAAACTCAGTTTCATGTATTAATGCCCATTTCCATTATCATTTCAGATGAAAATATCAACTTGCTTTCCTATGCAGTTGGTGATGTAAARCTAGCCCTTACATTGAAGAAAGAACTGTTCATATGTGTAAGTTGCTTTACAGAACTACCTCCCCAGCTACGCTTTTTTTACTTCCTACCACATTGTAAAAGGCAAGAAAATAAATAGGGTCTGAAAGTGGGTAGTGTTCAGAGATACCGAAAACAGATTTCTTAACATAGCCCTGATTCCATACTCTCTTAAACTGTTTTCACACAACGTGAACCAAACTGTGTCTTCTTCTGATCTGTCTGTTCYGTGCAGCAAGCTCAAAGGAAGTGAGATCTGGCTGGTTTCAGCTGGACCATTTCCACAAGAAGAGCAGAATATCCCTAGAGGGAATAAAGCTGTGTTAATACACTCTGATTTCACTTGTCAAAGGAAACAGCAGAGAGTTGTCTGGAGAATTTCTAGGTTTAATCTTTTCTCACCTGTTACTGCAAGAGTGACATTACAGCAGCTCCCAGATTATATGAAAGACAGAACTGAGATACCTAGGCTGAAAAGGAACCACAACTGCTCCTGAAGAACACTGCTTCATTCTAACCAAAGAGAAACATTTAACAGAGGATCTAGCCACTGCCATTTGCAGGAGTGACCCTTGATCTCCAGGAAGGAACTGGAGTTTATGATACAGATTAAGTCTTGTGCTAAATACAATTGAACTTAGGRTTCAAAAACTTGCATCTTGTACAAAATTTGTGACAGACAAATAGTGATACTTCTAACATCCATTAATTTTAACCCTTGTTATGATTTATTACTCACAAAGCTCAGATCCAGATAAAAACTAATGTTACACTGTTATAACTAACCACTTCCATAGAGATTATTGTATGGCAGATGTCAGAAAATTCACGAATGGCACTGCCAGCATGAGCAAGACACCATTATTCAGCAATCACAACAGCAGAACAAAGGACAAGTTGACTCAATTCAGTGGTATCTTTCACTCTGTGCACAGTTAAATTGTGGAGAATCTTAAACAAAATGTTACCAACATTGGAACAGAAATGAGTTCAAACAAGAATTTTYAGCATCATGAAAAGCTATTGAACAGGTTAGGCTCCATGCAGCCTCTCACTTACTGAATTCCTGTGTTGCTGAAAACTATGAAGGTGTTCCTGGAGGAACAGAGAAAGAACATTTGCCTAGAAAATGTCCTAGTTATCACACTTTTTCCTAATCATTTCCCTCAGTTCTACCCCATAAAGTCCATGGGAGCCATTCARATTTTCAGTTCCAAAACAGACTAATATATGAGAACAAAGCACTTAAAAAATTGGAAATATAATGTGTCAGAAATGACAGTAAGTAACAATCTGTTGATTGTCATGCWCTAGTCCTGTAAGAAGAAAATTGAGGCTATTTGAAAAGATGACAAATGTTGGGACCCGCACATCCTGGCTTTTTCATGTACATCACAGTACCCCATCTGAAAAAAGTAGCTACACAATTGCCACAAAATCATAGCTTTCAACATACRTAGAGAAGATCAGGGAAACATATTATAAAGGAGGTTTTTGTAACAGCTGGCTCTTTTGCTGAAGTAAATTTTTCAACTCCCACAACAGACATACTGGGTTGCAACTCATATTTCAGCATTCCAGYAATTTTTTTTTTACTATGTCTAGAAATAATGAAATCTGTTTTTTGCAGTCAGTGATATCATAGCAGGGAAATACAAGCTGGAGCATTGGTAAAGACAATAGTTCAGACAGATGTCATTAGCTTTYAGTTGTTACAGATACACTGACATGACAAAGCAGTACAGTCCCTTTGGTCTGAACCACAGATCTGACCCAGGTAGACATGGTTCTATCCAACGCTACAAATTCTGTGAACCAAACCACCTTGGAAATGTCAGTGGTTCACTTCAGCAGCAGCATTTCACTGGCAAAGCGATTGAGATCAAATGGCTYCTTGTCCTGGTGTAGCAGTTTTTGCCACTACTGCAGGGGTATATGAATATGGTTGCTTGAGAGGGTTTGCCAAGGGAATRATAAAATTATGAAAGTTGTTACTTTGGTTTCTCATACACAAATGTGAAGAAATGACAAATAGCAGGTCCTACAAGAGTTCACCAGAAAATGAAATATGCACCAGTACGGCCTGTTTCTTCTGTCTCTAGTAGCAGAAAAAAAAGTCCTCCATTTTTGAGCCTTTCTACTCATAAAACATTTTCTCATTTCTTTGAAACGCTTTAGCTTTATTTTATTGGTACATTTGAAAATGATTTCCAGAACAGTTTTCTAAAAGTACTTTTCTTTAAAAAAAATTAAATTTACAACTAGCAGAGAAACAGTACTCAGAAGTAAAATGTTGTATCATACTCCTATATCCTCTCTAATTGTGAGTTCACAGTGTGGAAGTTGTGGACACTACAGAATTTTGTTGGTGATGTCTCTTTCCTGCAGTGAGAAGTGAGTAGAAGAATGCACAAAACTAAAGGAAAGAATTTCCTTATCATATGGCTTTTCTCTACTGCTTTAAAGAAAACACTCTGATCTGAACAGCTAATAATCAAACAAAAAAAAACCTTTAAAGTGAAGTAAATATACCTGTATACAGTCATTATTCCATAAAGGACATAAGCAAACAGAAAAATGAACCTGGTCACTCAAGGTCTCATACATGTGCTGAAAATGATGTATCAGGGTATTTTAAGAACAAATTATCTACAAATTATTTTTAATGAGGCTGGACATTTGATACTCAGTATTACTAGACAAAGTCAAAACTGGTAGCAAGTTTCTTAGAAACATCAGTGTATCTGGTGTATTTTCAGTGTATCTGAAGTAATCCTTTGAATCATCAGCATGGGAGGGGAGTSTTTTCAGATGTCCCTTCTAATGGAGAAAATATTCCTGAAAAGGTCTTTCTGGCTGATGGAAAGAATGACTACTGAAATGAGGTTGAGTGAGTAGTTTAATGACTGAACAATTAGGGGTCTATTGCTGTCAGTAAGGCACCTTGCTGTTCTGAGATACTTCTCATTTATGCTCTTAAATTAGTCTTACTGATGGTTTTAATTATTTTTTTAATTATTGCTTTTAATTAAGTGCTGGCTTAAGTRGCATCTGTCAGAGGGACTGCATTTCCTGAGTGACAATCCTGGATTAAAAATGGGTAATTCCTGAAAGCATGCCTCATAAGAGCAGTTCTTGATCRTTTCAAAGGAAAATTAATTCATAGCTTTGTGTTTATTCATTTAAATTATATTTAAATTTGCTTGTTTTAAACAATAAAAAATACAGTATTGTAGAGCTAAAAGGGATTTCATCTAACCCTTTCAGACTGCCTCAGGACATGCAGCACCACGCCTCTGCTATTCCCGATGGATCCTTGTCCAGTCAGCTCATTGATGACCTGTGACAGACATCCATGTACCTCTCCCACTGCTACACCAAAAYCTTCCCAATGGCTACCCTAAATATTCTTTCTGTTGTTCAATTCCATTACTTCTACACCTGTCTGATTCATCCAAGAACAGAGTACATCATCTTTATCTTTGTCAGCAGCATTTTACATATCTGAAGRCAAAGACAATGCTCATTCCCTTCCACTGTAGCTATCCCACTCTGTCTTTTCTTCCTGGACCACGATTTCCAAACCCCGCCCTTGYGGTTCTCCATCAGATTATCTCTGATCAGTGTATGTTTTTGCCAACAGTCACTCAAGCAAATTTTTATGCCAGCAAGTGCTGAGCAGAGAGGTGTTGTGGGTGTTGCAATGCTGCAATACAGTAAGTGTTCAGCTCAGCTTCATTTCAAGTTTCGATTACCAGTACCCAAAAGATGTAGTGCTATGAGACYTCTCTGAAATAAATGTTAGAAACGTACATAACTGAACACAGCTGCATGTAACAAGTGATGAAGGATGAAAAGTTGGTGGGATGCCACGTAATACTGGTGGGCATGACACACAATGCCGCATTTTGCATGCTCCACAATTTCCCYTCCTGGGAGGCTCCACTGAAATGTCGGCAGCTGCCCACCCTGGCGAGGAGGCACAAATTTCCAAAGCAAGTATTTGTCAGAAATAAATGTTTCATATGAGAAAAAAAAAAATATAATGAGGAGGGTGAACTCAATTTTTGCACTTGTAGAACTGAGGACCTACAAAGTCAGCACAGGACAGTGACGAAGATACTCCAGAGTATTTTTGAAAACAGGCTGAGTGCAGCTCGGTTAAAACAGGTTCGCTCACGCCCATTGACTAGCCTTTACAGTGAATTCCTTAYGCGAGTGACTTCAGACTTGAGCCGTGGGAGCAGCCTAAGTTATCTTACACGTTATCTACTTAGCGACACGTTTGGTGTTACATACATTGCAGAGGAGCGGCTTCCAAACCGCCTGCGAGCTCTCTCGGGTAACTTTTCGAGGGCCGGTTCGCTCGGGAGGCAGTCCCGGCGCGGGCACACCGCTCTCGCAGCGCACCTGCGGCTGCCGGGGCTCCGGGCGGGGCGGGCCGGGGGCGGCTCGGCCCTGAGGCGGGGAGGGCTCGGCCCTGAGGCGGGGAGGGCTCGGCCCTGAGGCGGGGAGGGCGCGGCCCCGCCCGGCCCAGCCCGCGCCCCCGCTGCCGCCGGCCCCCCGCAGCACATGACCCGCCATGGAGAGGCGCTGCCGCTGCCCAGAGCTCGGGAGCCGGGGCAGCGRGCGGAGGCTGCGGGCCGGGGGCGGCACAGCCGGGCGGCGGGCAGGTGAGGCGGGCCGGGAGCGGCAGCGGTGCCCAGCGCCCGGTTCGCGGCGGCCGCCCCGGCGGGGGTGAGGGGCGGGCGGGACGGGCTGGCCGGCGGGGCTGTCTGCTGTCGGGGCGCTGCCCGGGGTCGCCGCTGGAGCCGGTGCTCGTGTTGTGTGGTCCCGGTGGGTTTCCCCCGCCCCGACCCGGCGGCCGGAGATGGGCGCTGAAGCGGAGGGGCCGTCGCGGGCGGATGGTGGCGGCGCGGACAGCACGAGGTGACACCGCCTCAGGTACCGCGGCTCCTTCAGCATCCTCGCGGGTGCGGGCGGCGCTGCGCTGTGCGACACCGCCTGACCCCCGCCCCGCCGGAGGCACCGCTCGGAGGCGGCGGGGACCGTGCGGTGTCCCTGGGACGGTATCCAGAGGCACCATTGCCAGCCTGGCCCGGCCGSTCCTCTCTGCAGCCGTGTTGTGGTTTTGATCCAGGAGAGTGTGGGCTGCTGCTGGCAGCTACAGGATGAAGTCGCCTCCCTGCTGCATGTCTCTTTCTTCCCAAGCATCCTTGGAGGAGCCGGGGAGTASCACTTCCCTGGGTTCTCTGGACTCCAGTGTTTTCTCCAGTGAGGAAGAGCAGGGACCCCTGCTCCAGAAGGTCATTCCCTCCCTGGACTGCTTTACTATCAATGTAGGAGGCAGCCGCTTTGTGATGTCCCAGCAAACTTTGTCTTGCTACCCCGACACCCGTCTTGGCAAACTGGCAGTAGTGGTCTCTGCTGCCCGGGATGTGGCTTCCGGCCTCCTTGAGCTTTGTGATGATGCCAACCTTGTGGAGAATGAGTATTTCTTTGATCGGAGCTCACAGGCATTTCACTACATCCTGAACTACTACCAGACAGGGAGGCTGCATGTGATGGAGCAGCTTTGTGCACTTTCTTTCCTGCAAGAGATCCAGTACTGGGGTTTGGATGAGCTCAGCATTGATTCCTGCTGCAGAGACCGGTGAGTTGTGGGAAGGTGAGGCTTGCGGGATTGTGGGCTAGGTGAGTTCAACACTGACTTGCTTCAGGGACACTCAGGTGAGAGATCCAGCAGTGGGGACAGGTGAGGTAGCGRGGCATTCGGAAAAGCTGTGTGAGTTGAGCCTCGAGTGCTGCTCTAGCGGTGGATGGGTGTCAGAAATGGGAGATGTGTTGGGTGCGGTCACAGTTAACCTTTGTTGTGGGGGGTCAGCATTTGTTGGTCAGGTCAAGATGGTGAGACAGTAACAGGAACAGAGTCTGGGATCTCCTGTAGTGGCTTCAGACTGGCGTGGAAGCTCAAAATGTTTTAAAGTACAGTGCCAGAGATGAAAAAGGTTGTGAAAGGAGAGATGCTCCTTCAATCGTTTAGTTTGAGGTTGCCATAGAGGGATTAGGTGTGGTGTGGAGTCAGGCACCATGCTGGGAGGATTTGGATCCTCCCCACCTGCACTTTAATTTTGAAGGATTTCCAAATCCAAGCTGGAGAGGCAGAAGTGGGGGTTGGTCACCTGCCAGGCTGAGTGTGGGTGGCATGGCTCCGGGGGGAGCCATGAAAGGAAGCATCGCACGTGGATATAGCAGCTTACAGGGAGGGGGCAGCAGCCGCGGGAACATGGCTCGCTGGAGACAAATTATAACAGGCACTTTAGGAACGAGGTGGGTTCTGACTGAACCACCCCCAGGATGTTTCTGTTAATTCTATTTGCAGCTAATTTTTTCCACCATATTTAATGTTACTGGTTTGGGTTTTTTGGTATTGAAGAAATGGATTTTCTAGAGAGTGTAACTGCTGTTTATATATAGTAGTTATGTCAAAATTATTAGAAAGAAACAAAGAACTAATCCCATCCCAAAAGGATACTGGAGTTATCCTACCCTAGTATGGTTCAGTTCTTCAGCTGAGAAAGTTGGAGCCTACTTTTCATCTCTTTCTTCCTTCTCTGGTAGGTGTAAGTGGAAGCTCCTGCTACTTTGGTGATACATGGAGCTCCAGACCTCTGGCATATGCAGGACTAAGTGTATTGAAGGCAAAATTGTATAATCCTTTGATCTAAGGCCTGAGCTGTGCAGCAGTCACAAAGAAATATAKGAAAGAAAAAGATACTTTTTTTAGTGTATTTTTGGTGTTTCACAAAATTCCACTGTAAATATACTCTTGCTCAGACAAAACACTCTATATATTTACAGTCTGTACATTTTACTGAGCACAAATGCTTGTGCACTTTGTGTGAGAACCCATATATTGGTAGAAAGAAATATACTTTGTCATCTTAGTGTGTATTGATCAGAAGCTCACCCATGAGCTGGGTGGCTTTTGCTATGCCTTCAATTTTATGATTGTAAATATGGACCAGTGTAATAAAAATGCAATTTAGGTATTCAAATTGAGAACTGTTTAAAAGCAGAGGATCTGGTTATGCCAGGATTGCTTCCAAGAATGTATGTTAGTTGTGCAGCAGATCCTACTGTAGTCAACGTGATCCATGTAAATAATTGCTATCAGTAAAATTACTCTGCATATAGGAAATGGGGGAATAGAAGTATATCAGGTCAGTGGAAACATGCTGCAGGGTCTCAATTAGTAAAAACTTCAACCATATGCTTGATATTAGGGTTTTCTTAGCTCACATGAGGTAAACTTTAATGTATATTCACATGACTTGCATAGTAAATGATAAGAAAAGCATCTGCATACTGCTATTAAAAATGTCTTGGGGGATGTTCCTGGGCAGGTACTTCAGGAGGAAGGAGCTGAGTGAAGCCTTAGACATCAAGAAAGATGCAGAAGAACTGGATGCTCAAGATGAAGAAGAGGATTTTTCTGGTAGCCTCTGTCCCAATGTCAGACAGAAACTTTGGGAAGTTTTGGAAAAGCCTGGCTCCTCTGCAGCGGCCAGGACTTTCGGCACTTTGTCCATGGTTTTTGTTGTTGTGTCCATCGCCAACATGGCTCTGATTTCGGTAGAGCTGAGCTGGCTGGCCCCACCCCTGCTGGATGCCCTAGAGTACCTGTGCATTGCGTGGTTCACAGCCGAGTTTGTTCTGAGGCTCCTGTGTGCGCGAGATCGGTGTCGCTTCCTGAGGAGTGTGGCAAACATCATCGACCTCCTTGCTATTTTGCCTTTCTACATCACCCTGCTGGTGGAGAGCCTGTGTGATGGTGAAAGCTCCCAGGAACTGGAGAATGTGGGACGTATWGTCCAGGTGCTGAGACTGCTCAGAGCCCTGCGGATGTTGAAGCTGGGAAGACATTCAACAGGTATGTTTGGCCATGGCTGTGGTGCTTCTCATTTTTGCTGCCTGCAGCAGTTGTCCCTGGACATGGGCCTCTATTTTGTGTGCATTTCTGCCAGAACTTTTTTACACAATCTGTTAGCAGTAATGGCTTGTGAAAATCTTACTTTTGAGCATTATAATTGAGTGACAAGGGCATTCTCCAGTAAATTTTGGCTTTTCATAAAGCCTTGTATATTGTTTGCATAGAATATTTAAAAATATAGACATCAGAGTTATATGCTGTAAATMCTCCATCAGTCATTCATAATGTGATAAATTTTAAAATATGTATTTAAGTTGATTTTATTAGGAAAGAAGCAGAGATCATCAGCCCACACTTTTTGTGTTATCCAAGGCCTGCTAATGACAGCTGTCACAAGTTGGTTTGCTTGAAAGTAAATGCGAAGAAATGTGTCATGATTTTGTCCACTTCACAGATYCTGAAAACAACAAGTGGAGAATGTTTCAAAGAAATTGTTTAAAACTGAATCTTTGCAGGGGATGGGTTGAGGGACTCTCTGGTCCTGATGAACCCACTGGCATTCCAGTGGTATGTGGAACTCATCTGGAGGCTGCTTACGCAGTGGGACCTCAGTGCAGCACAGAATAGCAGTGTCAGGCTCTGCCAGTGTTTACCAATTGGTGTGGGACCCTTGGTGTCCAGGCACTCCCAACAGGTCAGTAGACAGATGAACAGCAAGCAGGGATGGTGCAGAAGGTGAAAAGCATTTCTGTGAACTGTCTTGTTCACTCTCTGGTGAAAGGAAGGCATAAAAATTAACATTTTCCAGTGGGAATTTATCAGAGGAAGCTGGGAGTTACTGGAAAGCATTGGATTTCCTTTTGTGTTTCCCYTGGTTTTATTACTACTTCATGGCATGTACATGCCTGGCTTTATGAAAGAATAAAAGCTGTCTTGGMATTTTCAAAATGATTTGATTATGTTCCCATTTAAATCACTGCAGAATACAGTGCTGAATTTGACAGGAGAAATGTTTCAGCCAACACTTGGAGCTTTGAAAAATTATATCCAAATAGTAAATCATGGTCTCTGTCCTGCAATAGTACCCTGTTCTGAAGACAATGATGATCATTCTTATAATACACCCAATGTGCCTTTGCAGGATTTCCARCCATGAAGCAGGAATTGTTTGATGTCCATATTTTTTGAAAGCCACCTCTGTGAACTGGCCTCAATTCAGCAGGAGTTAGTGTGCTCATAGCAGCAGGATATGTCTTATTTTTTTCCCATCGGGAAGGGTAACAAACCTGCCTGCCAGTGGCAGGAAGTAGCTTTGATGCTACTCATAAGTATAATCATAGTGATTTGGGAAGTATCTTAATCTTACTCTCTACCCTAGACTGTGCCTCTGCTGATGCATAATGGTCCCTTAGAAAGCAGTTGAGAGGAAGCTGGTAATGATTCAGTCTGGTAATGTGTTAGTTTTGCTTCGTTACAAGTTTTTCAGGGTTTGGTAGAGGTTTTTTTTTGCAAGAAAGGCTCCTCTCTAATTGTGTTTTGAAAGTAAGAAAAAGATTTGATCTCATCAAGGCACTTTTGTGTTGACTAACCAAATGGTCATCCAAAAGTATGTTGATTCAAGTTAAAAAGTTTACAGTTTATTGCATTTTACTGGTACAGAATGAATGTATTCATTCTGGCACTCAGTTTTGTGGATCTTTCTTTCAACTTGAAATTAGCTATTTCAGATTTCAGTAACTCCTAACTTCAGGTAAGGATACTTTCACAGATGGTCTAAACACTTAGAGTCTATTTATTCTTAAACTCAYTATTCAGTATTACCCAGTTTAGGTCAGAATATTGAGTGGCACTGAGTTTAGTAATACCAWGTTAGGTAGAAGTTTAATTTAAAATATAGTGTCCTGCTCTGGAGTTGTGCTGACCTGTTTTTACTGGAATCAAAATACCAGTTCAAGGTACAAAAAGCAGTGCATGTATCTATTTAAACCACTCGGGGCAGTGTTGCCATCATTGCGCTGGCTTCTTTGGCAGGTCAGTTGCTGCCCACTCAGGTCCAGAATACCAAATCAAATCTGTATAATTTAAATGTGAAAACTCACTGTTCCGACCTTCTGTCTGAAGCAGTTTGATAATGTGCTTCTAAATACACCCTTTACCACAGCTGCTATGACAAGATGAACCCCACGTGTATCACACAGAGACACCATCCTCCTGGCACATACCTAGGCAGTCCTGAAAAACCTCAGTGTTCAGGAATGGCTCTTGAAACTCTTCTGCTCTCTTGCCTTGGATCTGACAGCTGCCTCCCAGTGAAGCTTCTCGCCAACTCCTACACTCTCAGACCAGGCAAAGCTTCACGCATTGCTCAGTTGTTTCATGTGGCAAGATGAGTGCAGGAGCAGAAGATTGTGTCTGCAGGCAGCAGCTCCTTTCACCAAGGAGGGGTGTTGACAGCCACAAGGAGAGCATCTCTGTGTGCTGTGCAGAGCCATAGCAAGGCTGGSATCACAACAGCAGCCATCAGGGGCAGAAGTGAGTGAGGCAAAAAAACATCTTTTTTTCACTTTCAAGGAATTGCAGCTTAAYGCTTTCTGTGGGACAAGGACAAGAAGGAAGGGAAGAAATGAATAAAGTAATTTCTGACCCTTTGGCTCCCTGGAGGGATGTGATGTGTAGAAACATCTGGGCTAGACAGATGTGTGTATAATACTTAYGCAAAGTACTACACTTCCTTAGGGAACCAGTGAAATCAGTGGTACCTCTATCCATAAAATGTGTAGCTAGAGGGTAAGACTACTCTGCYAATAAAGCAAAATTATAGATTTTAGTAGTTTAAAGAATAGATGAGAACTGTAACTGCATTTTTCATGTACTCAGATGCTTCTCATCTGTTGCATTCCTCCTGGGGCCATGTTTTCTGTGAAGTTTTGCTAGTCTCCTCTGGGAAGCAGACACAGAGGGACTTCTTGARGAGAATTAGGATGTGACCATCTTACTTGTGATGGCAATGAACATATATTTGAGAGAATAGCATGTTTCACACTGTCATACCTCTGGAGACATGAAAAGTTGAAACTTGGGTGCTTTTTGTGCCAAAAATTTAGGATTATTTAAATAGTGTAAATTGAAGCTCCCAAATATCAGCTTGTATTGCCAAATCACTTTGGACAAAAGAGAGATAGAACATAACCTCATGGCAGAAATTATTCCCTTTCCTCCTAGCAGGGCTGGGGCTGCTTGCCAGCCTCACACCAACGCTGTCACAGCACCTTAGCACCTTCCAAGCACGAGTAGCCAAGCTGTCACAGCTCCTGGCAAGGAGTTCTCATGAGACTTGCTGAGGTATCTGTGCTGGAGCAGCCCTAGTGTGGCCATGTGCCAGGGCTCAGAGACATTTAAAAAAGGTACAAAATAAAATAGTAGTTTAGTTTGTACATGTGATTACACTAACTGATTCCCCCTTAGCTGCGGAGTCCAGTAACTTCTCTGATTCATAGATTTGCCTAAAAATGTCTCCTGACTTCATCTAAAGACATGAAGAATTATATCTCAATTTTAGATTACTATATTAGAACTAAGAATAATAAAAAGAAAAAATCAGACCCTGAACAGTTAGAATAATTAACCTTAGGAGAAAATGAGAATGTCATCAATGTAATACAAGGAGTCAACCGTTACTGTTCTGTTCCTCCTTTTTTTAATCTATTTCATGTGAAAGTTGCCTTTTTTTTATCTATAATATTCTCAAGATCCCTCGTAAGGTATAAACCCTGGCTTTTATAGTATTCATGTATGCTTTGAAAAGAAGTACTACAGGGATAATTTTAAATTGTACCTTCTTCTGACTTTTTCAGTAGGAAGTATTACAGGGCAGGATCACAGTAACCTCCTTGGAAGATGAGAAATTGATCTATGTCCTTGCGATTATCTCACAGAGCTTTTGCACTGCTGATATTAGTGTTTCCAAAATATGGAGGCAGAGAATAGATTGCACTTATATATCTTACTCCTCTTGTGTTAAAGATTTAATCTACGTCATTGTAATAAACATTCTACAGATCATAAAGCCTCAATATGGGCAAGTTCTTTACTGGATTTGGTAGCAGATAGCATTGGAAAAAAACCCTACATTCCCCCCAAACTCTACTGTGTACTTCCATTGTTTGCTATACATAAACAAAACCTTTAAAACCCATTAGACCTGCAGGGGAAAAGGAAGAGCCAAAATCAAGAAATGTTAACATCTTGTAGTTTGAGCTTGTGGAAGAATAGAATTGCTTATAACACTAATGAGCATACAAAGTCTGCAAGCAGAGGCAGAGCCTCAGTAAGGTGTTTTGCAGACACTAGTTTAGTGAGAAGTGTACCCATGAAGGGTAATTCATAAGCATTATGTTTTTCTCATTTATTAGAGAAAACATCTCACATTTTTAAAGAACAGTATTAAAAACCAATCCAAAGTGATTCAAGAGATAATTTCCATCTCCTGTGTGTCTCAGCTGAATTGGTACCCTGTTATCTTCCTTCTTTGTTTATGTGTGCAGCATTTATGCATTGCACTGTTTTTTTTTATTTACTTTCCTGCTTGCTTTGTGGGGCAGTCTAGYCTTGAAGCAGCAGCTCTGACAGGAATATGGGGATGCTAGGGAAAATAGTGTTSAGCTCCCTGAGCAGCTCATGGACAAAAGGACTGATGCAGTACATAAGTGAATTAACGATTCCATGCTTGCATTCAGAGGCTTTGCTGTCTCCAGTTTGGCACAAGTGCAGCTGCTGCTGGAAAACTGTTTGTTTTGATGTCTACAGATATAAGATAATGATAGGGTTTTGGTACAGATACAAGATAATGATAGGGTTTTGGGAGGGAAAGGGGGGGTCAAAGAGAGTATGTGACAGCTATAAAAGGATTGAAAACGTCCTTAAAGAAAAAGTTACTGAGTGAACTGAACTGGGGTCTAAGCACTCACATGAGAACACAGATTTGGTAACTAAGGGCTCCTTGGTCCAAGAGAAAAATAGGACAGTGGCTGGAAAACAGAGGATTGGCACATTCAGACTTCAAGTATAAAGCAGGTGCTTTTAGTGTATTTTTAAGTAGTTTAAAATAGATCTTCTCATACAGCCAATTGCTGAATCAAGAGAGGTTAGTTTAAATTGCATGTTTAYATAGTTCACATGGTAAGTAATGAGAAAAATTTCTATGCTCTGTATTAAGAAAATAGACATGATGTCAGAGGTGCAGTCTGACGCTCCGATCTATTTCTTTAAATCACCTTTTCCCAGTGGTGTTTAGAGAAGCACCTCTTTTTAGCCTAGCACGGTTGGTGCCCCATTAGACTAGCAGAAATTCTGGTGGGAGATSTGGAGGTCAGAGGCCATTGTGGGCATGGTGACCATGAAATGAGAGAGTTTTCAATTCTTGGTGAAGTGAGGATGATCTGTATGAGGGAATTGAGTTGTGCCTTCAGCCAGTTTGTAGACGACACTAAGTTRGGTGGAAGTGCTGATCTGCTGGAGGATTGGAGGGCTCTGCTAAGGTATCTGGACAGGCTGGATCAATGGGCTGAGACCAACAGTGAGAGATTCATTAAAGCCAAGTGCTGGGTTCTGCACCTGAGTCACAACAAACCCCTGCAGACAACAGGCTGGGGGAGGAGTGGCTGGAAAGCTGTYCAGTGGAAAAGGTTCTGGGTGTGCTGATGTGCCAGCTCTGCCCAAGTGTCCATGAAGGCCARTGGCATCCTGGCCTGGATAGTGTGGCCAAATGGACTCAGGGAATTATTATCACCCTGTACTCAGCACTGGTAGGATTCACCTCAAATCCCATGTCCAGTTCTGGGCCCCTCTGTACAAGAATGACATTGAGGTGCTGGAGTGTGCCCAGAGAAGGGCAACAAAACTGGTGAAGGACCAAGAGAGTAMATCATATGAGGAGTGGCTGAGGGAGCTGGGATTGTTCAGCCTGGAGAAAAGGAGGCTCGAGTGAGACCTTATCTTTCTCTACAACTAGCTGAGAGGAGGTTGTAGCGAGGAGGAGTCGACCTCTCCTCCCAGGCATCAAGCAATTAGAAAAGAGCAAATGGTCTCAGGCTGTGCTGGGGAGGTTCAGGTTGGACATAAAAAAAAATTTCTTMATGGAAAGTGTGGTTAAGCATTGAAATGGGCTGTCAAGGGARGTGGTGGAGTCACAGTCCTGGATGTRTTCATGAAACAGCTGGATGTGTCACTTAGTGCTGTGGTTTAGTTGACAAGCTGGTGTTCAGTTAAAGGTTGGACTCCATGATCTTGGAGTCTTTTCCAATCTTGCTGAGTCTCTAGTTCTCAAGACATGTTCACCAGCATTCAAAAAAGYCTATAAAGCAGTCAGCCTTTAAATAAGAGATGTTTTGCAAAGTTTTGATGACAGCTACGTGAATCAACCTACTGACAGCATTTYTTGTCTTTCAGGCTTGCGTTCTCTTGGGATGACTATTGCTCAGTGCTATGAGGAGGTTGGCCTTCTGCTTCTTTTCCTCTCTGTAGGGATCTCCATATTTTCCACTGTGGAGTACTTTGTTGAGCAAGGTGTGCCAGGCACAACTTTCACAAGCGTACCTGGTGCTTGGTGGTGGGCAACAACTTCCATGACAACAGTTGGTTACGGTGACATTAGACCAGACACTACCATCGGTAAGGTAGTAGCCTTTATGTGCATACTGTCAGGAATACTGGTTTTGGCTCTGCCCATAGCTATAATAAATGACCGTTTTTCTGCCTGTTATTTTACACTGAAGATAAAAGAAGCCGCTCTTCGGCAGCGTGAAGCTTTAAAGAAACTCATGAAGAACTCATCCAGCGATTCAAATATCAACGTTAATTTGCGAGACATATACGCACGCAGCGTCATGGACATGTTGCGGTTAAAAAGCAGAGAGAGAGCAAGTACAAGGAGCAGTGGTGCAGATGATTTTTGGTTTTGACTTTGAAGTTATTCAACTTCGTATAGCACATAGACTACTTCAGAAATGTAATATCAAGCATCTGTTTTTTTATTATTTGCTACACCGTATATTTGCTTTTCCAGGTGGAGTTTTACTTTTTTGGGTGGACTGAAATAATTATTGTATACAAAAGGCAGAACTCATAACAGAGAATCTGTCGAGGAGCTCTAAACCCTTCTTTCRGAACTGGATTGTGGTGGGTGAAATGGGAAATAACGGATCCAGGACAGCAAAACAATGATGCAAGCATTTGTCTAATCTAAATTCCTACTAATGTATAAGAATAAAGTCTTGGTGAAAATTGCCACGATGTTTTGAATTTTAACCATCTAGGTTTTGTATTTGCAYTTGGAGAACAAAAGTCAAAGTCACGAGGGAAAAGTGAAAAGGTAAGTCTAAGAAAATGAAATATTGAATAAATTTAATATGGCATTGCTATAACAAGCTTAATCTTGATTCTCATTCTTATCCCCTTCTTCTAATACATTTTCATGAAAAAAGAGGTTATTCTGGGGCAGCATGAGGGTTGGGAGGAAAGAGTGGGTGTAGAATTCCCTCATTTGCAGAGAAGCAAAGGGCTACCAGATATGTAAAATGGGTRTTAGGAGATAGGTGGAAGTATCAAGGAGATGCAAGATCTGTAGCAAAGTATAAAATAGTCATTAAATAAGTGTTGTAATAGTCTGTAGTTGCTTCAGAGCTAATACAGCTTTTGCAATATGGAAGTAATTTATAAACTTATTTTGAACTATGCCTTCTCTGTGCATTTTGATACCCATKACTTATTTGTATAGTTAAGCAGTTTTCGTTCTTGAGCAAAGTCACCACTGGATAGCAGAAGAGACAAAAATTGTAAAAAATATCAATGTTCTGATTTCTCTCTCTCCTGTTAAAATCGTAGGTATTCCAAGTGGACCAGATTTTTAAAACGTTAATTAACTTCACTGATTCATTATTGGAAAAATACTTCATTAAAATATTTTGTTTCAAAGGAAAAATGATCATTTGTTGGATTGAATGCTTACTCTATGCAGTCATCAAAGTAAAAACCTAAAATAATCAAAGGTATTTCYGTCGAATTTCCCACCACCCACCCCTCCAGAGGCCCAATACCATTCTCAGCAAACAAATCTTTTCTTTAATATAATTTCACTGATCTAGACTATGACATTGCATAGAATGCATATAACTAAGCTAGTAGGTTAAATTTAAGAAGTCACAAAACTCACATTTTACAGTTGTTTTGGTCAATATAAAGAGYAAAAAGCTACATCTATTAACTGTGGATCATTTACCTTTATGTATTTATGTACATAGAAGGCTTAAACTCCTATTGAGAACATATTGATGGGTGAAATAACTTGCTTTTATTAAACAKTGAATAATACTTGTTTTGAAACAAGTGTGTTTTTCTGTCATTCCCTGTAAATAATGGTGTAAACATAATAAGTAACCAAGATTTTCGAGGCATCTTGATGAAAACTGAGCAGGATTTCAGCATGAAACTTCTGACTTATCTGCTGGCATCAGTCAGCATTTGGATTTTGGACCAATGCAGCACACACAGCTGTCACCAGGATCAGAAGGAAGACAAAAACACTGGACACCAAAAGAGTGTCTTGCTCCACCAGAAATTGACTAGATTTGAAAATCTGTAGGTCATCTTCATGGTCTGTGGTAAACAGAGAGCAACTACTCCCCTCTCCCCAAATACTCTATGAATCTATCACAAAACTCCCAGTGATGTCCAGGAGACCAAATTAATTCTGCAAGGGAAGGTCTGGTGCAGCCCACTCTAGGTTATTATTTCATAGCTCTTTGGATCAGGAAGTCTCTCAGGCTGCACAAATTGTACAGGCTGTTTCTCATTCAAAAGTCATTCTAATTATAGAGAATTAGGAAGAAGCTTTCATTGTGGTAAGGCTGTTTTGTAATGTCTTTTGTGCTCTCTTGTACAGCATCTGATCTGTGTTTGARAAAGGAAATGCAGTTAGATAGCTGATTGATTCTCTTTAGGGAATGGCTGCTTTATTGTATCCTATGCTTTTTATGAAGGACTCAAAAGAATGAGAGAAATGTTCTAGGATGTATTCGTTGATTCATTCAGTTTACCATCTCTGGAGATSGTTTCCTAGAAATGCCCATGGGGAGATGTGGCTCAGACTTTATCCAGTAGTTGCAATGGCCTCTGTTTTCAGATCTCTTGATTTTAAATTCAGTGTCCCAAGCAGTGTTTGTCAATTGTGTTGTTTATACAGAACAGTTATCTGTCACATTATGAGCTGAGACTAGCAAATCATTTTACAGAGGAAGGCCAGTTCTGCTTTCAGCTCTCAGGCAGAAGGACCAGAGCATTCATACTGAGAAACACACAGTACAGGACATCACAATTCTAAAAAAATAAAGCTACACCATGTACGTGCTRCCACAGATTTGGGAAATAGCTCAGCCACCACTAAGGCACCAAATTAAGAATGTTACTTTGCTATCTTTAGAATATTACACTAAAGACAAGAAGCTACCTTTTGTCCTCATTTCTGTTCTGCCATCCCTCAGCAGACTTGGCAGACATGATCAGTAACATTGGCTGAAAATTCAGCATTTTAGCTCAAAACACCAAGTATTTTCACAAACCAACATCAAAGGATGTAGCTGCAGCACATAGAAAGAAACCCTGCATTGACCTTGGTTCCTTAGTACAAGGAGCAGTAATAGTGAAAATGACAGAAATGTAGAACCATAGAACAGTTTGGGTTGGARGGGACCTTAAAGATCATCTAGCTCCAAACCCCTTGGCRTGATAGGRTCRCCTTCCACTTCASCAGGTTTCTCARTTCCCCWTCCAGCCTGGCCTTGGACTCTTCCAGGGATGGGWCATCCACAACTTCTCTAGGTGTGTCAACACAAGCAGGCAGCTGGGACAACCACAAAGTCACAGGATTAAGAGTCAATTTATTCCTGTTCCCTTGCTGTCAGGGAGATTCTGAAAGCTGCACCTGGACAAAGATACACAAGCAGAGATGTAGGCACCTCTAAACTTGGTCCATSCTAGAGAATCACTGGCCTGCTGTTCCCTCAGGCTGCAAGGTCATTTGGTTGATTTGCAGTCCTCATTGCCAATTTCAAACACTGGGCAACCTTACCACCCTTGTAGTGMAGAATTTCTTCCTAAAATTTCATCATTAAAATTGTCATAATTTTACTTTGAAGAAAGGTAGAAGCATCCTGGGTCACATTAAGCAGAGCAGTGCCAGGAGGTCAAGGGAGATGGTCCTGCTCTTCAGCGTGGTGAGACAGGTCTGGGTGAAGTGTGCAGTGTTGGGCACTCCAGCACAAGAAAAGAGGGACAGGGTGTGGAGGTAGTTCAGCCAGATAGTGGAGGGCCAGGTTGCAGAGCCCAGCATGCTGGGAAATCCCTGTGTCCAGGAGAAGCAGGTGTGCTGATATTTGGTGGGGGAGACATCAGGTCTGGGGGTGTTTTCACAAATTCATGTTTGCTAGTATTTTACATGTTACTTCTTGTATTGTAGTGATTTTGATCTTGAATGCATACTTCAAYAGTCATTTTAATTATGTGGTTTTAGTAAGTTAATAAGCCTCTTCAAACCYGATTTGATATTAACTATGTAAATTGAGCAATTTTTCCATCAGACAGGAATTTTGCTGGTCACATCWGTGCTTGTGGGGTTGCACATTGCAAATATGGTTGAGAACAAAAAGGATGAAAAAGGAAAGCAGATAGTTAAGAGGTCTTTTGTTAAGTAATTTATGTTTTCTGACATAGCAAAGTCTTTTCATCTTGTTACGATTATTTCGATGATGAGTGCCATGTTTTTTTCATTTGTACAGTATTGTCCTCTCTAAGCTCCATTGAAGAATCCATGGTGTGCACAGCTTTAGCAGGACATTTTCCATGGAGATGCTCACCATCAAGCTGCACTTTTTTTTTTTTTTTTGAGGGAGTATAATGAGTCCTGTAAATGTTAGAGTTTTTCCTTTTGTGTAAAGACAGATCCTAAAAGACACATACATCTCCAGACAAAAGCACAGCTGCCACAGACTCACTGTAGCAGTTTGGATACATTTAAATTTGGTAAATAGTGAGCTTGACCTATTGGTCAGTCAGTAACTGAAGTCATTCCTTTATAAAATGTATTTTGATTAAATACTAAGCCAAACAATTCAATTATAATTAACTTTGTTGTTGTTTGCTGTATTTGGACTAGAATATTTTCTGAAAAAATGTGACCCCAATGTATAGGGCTGGAGCTTCTGCTAGAGGATGGCACTTCAGCAGGAGGASCACAGCCCATTTTGCCTCTCACTGGCATGTCAAAAAGCCTGAGCAGACACATCCCTTCCCACAGAAAACAGGAGGGAAAYTTTGTGCAGGTCAGTTTTGCATGCTGCCCTGTTACAGGATTTCTGTGTGAAACAAAAAAAATAAAATCTAGACTTACAACAAAGCCTATTTAAAGGTATTTGAAGCACTATTGCCTGTTTTATTTAAGTTACTGGTTTGCAGACACCAGGAGCCCCTTTAGCTGTGGTGAGGATAAGGAGGAGATCCCACCTCATGTCATAAAAGCAGGGCCAACACCAGTTGATGTAAACCTCAGTTGTTCCCAGTCTTTCTCAGACCTCCAAAAACAGCTGATGAGGTGGATTTACAACACACCAATGAATCTAGAACAGCCTGGAGTTAGGTTGGGTCTTACAAGAAGTCTACAGTTGTATTCATGTAACTAAAATTATGTGAAATGCCTATTATGAGCTGAAAAAAAACCTAGGCCATTGTAACAGCATTTGCAAATTAAATCCTTTTTCTYGTCAAAGAAAGGAAGACATGCAGATGTAAGATTATCCCTAGTTATCCCCAATTCTGTACAGCTTTCAATAAAATGAAAAGTGCTTGGAAGTCATGTTGTATCACTGTGTGGTCCTGCAAGCTGTGACAGGCATTTCATTTCCTATGGCTCGCTCACAAAGGCAGTTCTGTTTCCAATCTGTGCATCAGAGATAGATCCTGGGAAATGGCTGAAGTGTGCATGACTTTTCACCACCTAGTCCATGAACCAGTTTCTCTGTAGATCTTGAAGAGCAATTCGGAACAGCCTCTTTCAATTGTCATAAAAACAGCACAATGAGTTGGCTTGTCCTAAACACATTTTTCAACGCAGCAAAAAAAAGGCAACTGGCTGGAAAATAGTTAAAAGATAACTAATGAATTCCCAGCTGGCCCTGTGTTACAGATTTCTGAATTGTAACTTTCTGGCTGAGGTATGAAATATATTATGCAATTCAGACATGTTRAATTATGGAAAAGCATTCCAAGACCGACATGTCTTTGTTTAAGAACTTCTGTCCAGTGAAGCAAAATTCATAAACCCACAGCTTTTTGTCCTAAACTAGCAACATCATTACAGCCTTTGGAAACTGCCTGAGTTACTCTCTTCATGGGCTCCATGGGATCTCTCCATGGCTTTTGAGATG